GACCTACCGAAGCTGAAACATCTAGTCTAGGTAGCCTGCTTATAGGCCTCTCCCTACTAGACTACTAAGTCTAGACCTACTCTCTAAATGAAATCTATAAAACATTAACTTCTATAAATTTTTTAAAAATTCTAGGCTTAGCATTACTAAACATGCTATATATCATTCTTCTAGTTAAAATATGGCCTATTCACTAAAAATGATGATGATTAGTCAGCAGGTAATAAATTTCAAAGTTTTTTTAAGAATTTTTAAAAAATCAGGAATCATGCTTATATAATCAGACTATTATTATTCTATAGCTAAAAGTCCCTACTACTTACTAAAAATATTTATTATTAGCCATCTAGTACTAGGCTCTTTATAAATACTAGAAATTATTTTCTCATAATTTCTGCCTGAATTCTAAGGCTCTACTAGGCTAGTAGATGCCTCAGGCAGTGTCTATACTAGGTGGTGGCCTAAAGGGGTATAGGCTTCCCGCAGATAGTGGTCTTGGCACACCCCAACAAAAAAATTCGACCTTACCCCTACCCTCCTAGTTCGACCACCTTCCCTGGTGAATAATCTAGAATTAATATTAGAATATAATAATTTAGCTAATTAGAATCATAAAATCATTTTAAATCATTCAAAAATATTAAGATTTGATAAAGTTAAGGGGTAGGGAGGAGTTACCCTCCTCCCCTCCCCCCCTGTCAACCCTAGGATTAGTATGATGCCCTCCCCTCAGGCATGGGCACTTATATTGGTTTGGCCTCTCCCTACTAGACCCACTAAATCTAGTACCTACTCTCTAAATCAAATCCATGAAACATTAACTTCTATGAATTTTTAAAAATTATAGGCTTAGTATTACTAAGCATGCTATATATCATTCTTCTAGTTAAAACCAGGCCTATTCACTAAAAATAAATTATATTAGTCAGCAGTGAATAAATTTCAAAGTCTCTTTTAAGAATTTTTAAAAAAATTAGGAATCATGCTTACATAATCAGAATATTATCATTCTATAGCTAAAAGTCCCTACTATTTACTAAAAATATTTATTATTAGTCATCTAGTACTAGGCTCTTAATATATAGTAGAAATTATTTTCTCAATAATTTCTGCCTGAATTCTAAGGCCCTACTAGGTTATTTAATGCCTCAGGCACTAATTCAGGCTAGGTGGTGGCCTAAAAGGGTATAGGCTTCCCGCAGATAGCAGTCTTGGCATACCCCAACAAAAATTTCAACCTTACCCCTAACCCCCCAGGTCGACCACCTTCCAGGTGGATAATATGAAATTTAATATTAGAATATAATAATTTAGCTAATTAGAATTATAATCATTTTAAATCATTTAAAAATATTAAGATTTGATAAAGTTAAGGGGGGTGATGGCTTACCCTGATCACCCCCCCCCCTGTTAACCCTAGAATTTGTATGATCACCCCCCCCCCTGATGGGCCATTATAGTATTAGGGCCCTTTGGAATTGACCTCCCCTTCAGCATCCCACAGAGGCATGCTTAAGCTCGAGGAACATGCATCATCCACTCGAAGAGATCTGCAATTCGACTCGCTTGTTAGTCCTACGAATTCCAAGGTTGCTATTCCTCGGATTGTGCGCCCCCAGCCACGAAACGCAATCCGCCGTGCTAAGAGAGCATGCCTGGAATGCAGACATCGAAAGACGAGATGTGACGGCTACCAGCCATGCCATCAATGTGACTTTTTCAATGTCGCTTGCGAGTATGCTGAGGGGAAGCAAGAGAGAGCCAAGAGGTACATAGTTCCACTCAGCGCTAGGTTCCTTTGAGTAACAATACCGCAGACGAGTTGTAGAACTTGAAGAACAAATTGGTGTGTACGATCCAGTAGCTGCGGCGACTACGATTCAAGGTAGATGCCCAGGACCGAGAGATGATCGATAGAGTTCTCAATCGGGTATGTATATCCCTGCAATCATCGCATGCAATAACCCCAGGATGATATTATCCATAGTATAACCTAACCTCGTTTCTGGACACGCGGACTAAGTTGGAGCGGGAAAACCGATAGTTTGGGAGCAGGAAGGCCAGTACCGAAACAATCGGCAAGTAAACCAGATTTGGTTGATCGCCATCAATATGGAACACCAAAGCGGTGAAAAAATACAGGTGTTGGCCAGTTTGGCAGAGGCGGCATAGGCTCACGTATACTGTGGCCCCCGGTATAGCACGATGGTGCTTCCCGCTGAATAAATATCAATACCTCCGCCATATCGATTAGTCTCACCCTTCAAAGCAAACCGATAGTAAGAACGAATGAACGGCTCGCGAGTCCGTCTCCTCGGCATATGTTCCAAGCCGGCAGTGACTGGCTTCGGATTTGAGGAGTTCTTGGAGGTAGAGCACACGCTCTCCAGATCGCAACACAACTAGAATGTATGCTGCCTCTTCATCCTCGCCTTTCATTTCCGTTTCCCACTGTCCTTGTTTCCGAGACGCCAATCGCACAACATTCTTCGCTCCATCCTCCACTGTCCCTTGGCCCTGTAGGCATTTGAGGTCCGTTGCCATATAGCCTAGACAGACAGCTATAAACGACCCATGTGTAGCCGTACCGTGTCTCAAAATGTCTCTGGATTTCAGCGTCCAATGAGCCATTGTAACATACTGTCACTAATCTTCCATCGAACCCCGGTACGGTACCTTATGGGAACCAGCTCCCCAGGCCAGTTCGAAGTGTTCGGGAAGAAGAACGTGACTATCGAGATATAATTCGAATGTATTGCGGTACTAGCGACCAAGAGCATGCCTTTCACATAGATGCCATCTGGAGCACTTGGAGGCATTCCCGAATTCTTGGAAGGGAAACATCTGAGGCTAGGGTCAAAACGTCTGTGCCGTTCTTGACAAAGACAACGATGGGCAATTCTGTGCTGGAAAGGGCTCCGGAGAGCAAGGCGTGCTTTCTGACGTCGACTCGGTAGAACTTGACGCTTGTGAACTCATCACTCAGTTATGAAAAAAAGAGGAAGAAAGATTGGCCGAGACTTCATTGAGCACTTTGGGGAACCACAAGAATGAGGCTACACTTAAAGCTGCTAATTAAAAGCGGGTTGGAAGAAGAGGCACAGTTCCACAGATCTTTCGCAAGGGTATAGACTGTATGACTGCCCTGAAATTTAACCAAGTGCTGCTTTGGGGTGCAGTCTGCAGGAACTAAGGTCATCGCGGAAACAATGCATACTCTAGGGGGAAATTAGTTAAGCCTACCAGCAGAACACTGTCACTTGGAGCGACTGGTTGGGAAAAGTCATTTGTTATATAATGTTACTATATGAGTTTTGTGAAAGTAACACCACATTATTGTGCTGATTATAATGAAGGGAAACTGAAAGATAGTAACCCTAGCAAAGCAGAAGAGTAATTAAATAATTCAGAACACTAGGGGGAAACAGCAACACTCTTGAATTACTGTAATATTTACCTGCCATGCAAAGCAATAGCGGGCATGACTGATGTGGTTGTAAAAAAAAGATACTTAGCAAGATTTAATGATTTTATCGAATAGGTGAGGGCTGAACTGAATCTGCAGATGGGCTGGGTATCTAAATCTGGTTAATTAGCTATTTGTTGGTCAACTTTCATTCCGCTTAACCAGTATGAATTGCCCAGCGGGGTGATTTCAGTTGATTGAATTCCTAATGAAAATACCAGGTCAGGGGTCTTTGAGCATTGTACACCTCCTAAGTCTGAAAGACACCTACTCCTGCTACACCATCTAGGCTGCTCAGATCTAGCTTATTGCTGCTCACCTCGGCTCAGTTCTGCTCAGTTAAAGGTGCAGATCACCCAGGGAGCGCACAGTATGCTTAGTGAGCGTAAGGTGAGTAGCGATGAGCTAGATCTGAGCATAAATATTGTTATACTTTGCTTATATTAGCCGCAGCAGAAACTATATGCCGCGATGTTTTGTGCTCATTCATGTCTCGGGGAGAGAAATGATCCTACAGTCTTGAAAAGACTCTTATCAGCTTGTAATATGTACGCTCGCCCAGTTGCTACACATTAATCCTAATTCTCTCCCTTTGTGGGACTAGGTACTGCGCGCTAGCCGCTCTTACACCTTTTTGTTATTCTGAATTTTCACTGTGGTAGATTAAGCTATCCATGTCCGGTCCATCCATGTCCGGTCCATTCATATTAATATTGTTGACATGATCTGTGCCATTCTCAGATTTCACTAGATGAGTTAGATCTTGTATCTAATAAAGACTACAACCTCGGCTCTCTGGATGTTAACCTGAATTAGCCTATTTCAATGCAGGCCTATAACAGCAGGCAATTGCAAGCCAAGCTTCCTCTGCTGCAACGTATCTGTGGATTTGTTCTGACCTGACGGCGGCCTCTATGAAATGTTTAAGCTGTTTAAGAAATAGGATATAATTAATTCTATCCAGTCATGTACTTGTCTTTTAAACGTGCACATTCCCCATAGGATGAGACACTGTACAGTGGGAGACTTAGTTCCCTACTTCCAATCCATCTTTGGACAAGGACATGTTATTTCCTACTACATCTTATCCAAATTAACTGGAGATCCATCCACCCATCTCTACTATGTGGTCACCTTGCATAATTATGCTGAGGCAAACCTCCGCATGCTTAAGAAGGTAATAGTTAGTGGTATTCCACTCTCTTAAACACAACAAGCTCAACCACTTTGGTCAACTAAGGGAGATCCACATGCATTTGTAAAATACCTTGTGAGTCAACCCATTGCTGCTCCACAATCCAGTTATGTAGGGGTAGATTAGATACCCAAGCAGAGAAAGTAGATCTTTGGTCGTTGCTGTGAAGACTTAATGCGAGTGGGTTGCAATGCCTCCTCTATGTGCTGTTGTTATTTGGTAGTGGGACAGGAACTACATCATTTGGCAAAAAGTAATGTGCAGACTAGTGAACTGTTTGCATTGATCCTGTGGATTGTAGAATGCAACAAAACAAGGATACATAACCAGTAACTAGATCATCCTTTATTTTGCAACACTCATACCCCCCTATCCTACTCCAGTCTGGTGTTATATCCGTGGCCTACGACAGTCCACCAGCGAGGCATAAAGGTGAGTGATTAGCGATGGGTGGCTGCCGTTAGAAATATGCTAGACTGTAGTAACCTCTTCTATCCATCTGTGATATCCACTGACTTCATGAAGGACGGATGATCAGGTTTTATGTCTATCATAGAGCGCATACACTCATCAACCATTGACACGTGCGCATATGAGCGCTGACTATAGACAATTCTTCTCCACCCCATCTGGTCCACAACCTGGGCACACGGATTATAGGCAAAAAGGCCACCCACGCAGGTGGTCTATTCTCTAGTATCTTGCCTGAGTCAAGCTTAAGAATAGCGCGGATGCGGGTTTATTCGATCCCAGACTCAGAGAGTGTAGTAACCAGACCTCTGTCAAGGACATTAACCTGTTGCTCTATTACCCTATGAAAGTCTCTTGAAATGGCCTATTAGCATAGTAAGTATAAAAGGCTAGAGAGCCAATATACAGTTGTTATTTGTATTCAATAAGGGACCTGACGCTTTGAGACACTAATTACTAACTATATGCATATTTAAGGATGGCGCATCCCATAAATTATGGTTACTCTCTAAGCTATTAAATGGAGCGGTAGCTAGCACAGCTAGAAGAGCTCAGGCAATTAACCTGCTTTTTAGATATATTAGGTTATGGCCATGGGGAAGAAGTAGTTAATTATTCTCTTAGTCACTAGGTGATATTATAGGAGTGGTGAATCACAAGCTTCTTTCAGCATGGTTCTATATTAGGTTATCCAATCCTCTTCTTAAGGGTTGTACTCTAGTACACTTAGATTGAACCTTAAGACCTGCCTGGATATTAGTCTGAGAATAATCTTATTACCTCTGACTAAGATTGTTTCTTATCCCTTCTCAGCTTTAACAGAAGATTAGCCTCCTTTGTAGTCTATGGTTCACCCTTTCTAGAGGTCCCATGGGCCTCACTGGTATCTTGCTATTTTTACTCACCCTCAGCAGAGAGGGCTGAGCAATAGGCTAACTGAGTATCTTCTTTTCTACATGTTAGCACGGAGTCAAGCATGCACCCTGATAGAACACCTTTAAACAGCTAAGAAAGAAACTATAAACGCCCATCGAGCGGCAGAGACAGGAAATGAGAATGGAGGATGGTGAATGAATCCTCTCTTATCTATTATTTATTAGGAACTTATAGCTGTTTTAGGGCTTGCCTATTTGATTGCTGCCTCTTGTATTTAGATGTTGTTGATGGTTTGCTGACATTGTTAGAGTGAGATGGGTTGGGTTTAGTATTATGATTAAATAGGCGCAATTCTTACTAACCATGGGTGTGGGAATGGTTATTTATTTAGGTGCTATTATTTCTGCTGTCTATACTATTATTATAATCTTGATAACTCTAAGCTACATTGTGAAGAACAGGTAGAGGTTCTAGATATAGATAGATTATCTCTGAAATAATAGTACTGTCGCATCCTAGAACTAGCTGACACTGACTACTAGCCTCCCATGGGCCATCATCAGCAAGGATTGCGGGATTAATAGGAGTAGTGCTCTGTATATCTAGGAGCCAGAAGATCTCTTTCAAGCTATTATCCAAGGTAGATATGCTTAGTAATAGTAGGATAGCTTCTGTAATACCTCTAGGAAAGCAGGGTAGCTCAGTTAGGGTCCTAGTGTTTTCTTAGGAATTGCAGTGCGAAGCTATATCTGGGGTTAAGGCGTGAGGTGTTTAAGGTGCTATATTATATAGAGGTGTTATACTATGCTTAGCCTTCTTTAGGCTTATCATGCTTAGTGGTTTAGCAGGTATCTCCCCGGGTGCACATGGGCGAGTGTTCATACTTAAATTCATGCAGACCTTGGCTGGTGGCCGCACAGGGAGGTGATGCTTAGGAAAGGGGAGAGTGCTTGGGAAGGACTCATAGCAAGGTCTAGAATAAGGGGAATCACTAGTTCTTTCAGAGCATGGATAGGGTAATCTATAAGGGGAGAATGGCTTCCTATGGGGAGGAGCCCATGGCTTAAAGTTATTCACTTAAAATATAGGGGTCATATTGTATTATGAGGACTTGGAAGTGTTTAGGGGCATATAGTGGTAGGAAGGCAACTGGGACAAGGGGAA